GTGATATGTGACAGAACACATATCCTCAAAAATCTATGAGCTCGTCCGGGATTGTTTGTATACTCTGTTTAATCTTTAAAGTTGATGGTGATCTTGGCCAGGAGGTTGTTCAGTGTTTGTATTTTGTTGTTAACACAGTTGTGACCATTCTGGGTCAGTTCTTAGAATGTGCTCTTAGGAGTGATTTGTGATCAAGTTGTGGTGTTTTGTGGTGTTTCCAGTACATTGGGTTAGGTACAACCTTGGTGGGTGGTGGTAAATTAATCTATTGTTGATTATATTTACATTTTTGGTGACAATATATTTTGTTTGTGGACTGTCAGATTGACAAGACAGCATGTCGCAGTCAAAAATTTATATACAGGAATTGAAGGACATGGCTGTCCAGATGGGATTGGAGGGTAAGGAAATGACCGAGTGGATCAAAACCACGGAACGTGAGATGAGGATGGAAGCCCGTGAGGCAGAGAGACTCAGGATTGAGACAGAGAAGGAAACCGAACGACTCCGGATTGAATCTGAGAGGATTCAAGAAACCGAACGACTCAGACTTGAGTGTGATCCTACAGGTCGAAGCAGACTCTCGATGAATAAAATGGATTCAGTCTTTGCGACACCAGGTTGTGAGTGCAGTTTACGCTCATCTTTGTTCCAGGGCCATGCCGGTGTTGTGGCAATGAAATGGCCGACAAACTGGCCGGTTCTGCCTTAGTTGCAGAAGACCGTCCTATGGATCCGACCGACACTGGTAATGTCCTTAAAGAGGTAGGATGGTCAGAAGGTTTTGGGAGCAGTCACTGCCAAGGATGCGAGAATTAGGAGTAAGGAACAGCACGGCCGAGCATAACGTACAAGAAGTATTGTTAACCAGCATAGGAGTGTCACTACTACCCGCGGGATGCTAATGTATATGCTGAAAGAGGATCCTGAGCACCTTTGGGCGTGCCCGAAGTACTATGGAAGTTAACCCAACTCCCAAATCATAACTAATAAATAAAAAAAAAATAAAAACATGTAAAATATTTCGGCCACATCAAAAGACAAAACTTTTTAAAAAAAAAAAAAAAAAAATACTGGAGGGAAATTCTGAAGTCCAACTAGCAAAAGATAAACATCGAAAACAGTTGAAGAATAAATTGGAGGGGTGGATGCACTGCATTCTCAGAAAGCGTAGAATAGTGTGTGCTGGATATCCGTTGCATCCAAACTATAACGTGGAGATGGCACTTGATTGATTGAAGTAGTAGTAGCAGCAGCATCAGCAGCAGCAGCAGTAGTAGTAGTAGTAGTAGTAGTAGTAGTAGTAGTAGTAGTAGTGTAGTAGTAGTAGTAGTAGTAGTAGTAGTAGTGGTGGTGGTGGTGGTGGTAGTGGTAGTAGTTGCAGGAGCAACAGGTGTAGTATTACTACAAGTAGGAATAGTAATAGCAGCAACATCAGCTAATGAAGGAAAAGGAAGGGGGCGAGGAGTTGGAGGAGGAATAAAAGTAGGAGGAGGCTAAGAGGACTGAAAATTTTACAATATAAGGGAACATGAGAATTAAGAGTAGTAGCAGGAGAATAGGAGAAGGAAAATAACGAGGAAGACGAGAAAAGTAAAACGGAATAAAAAGACTAGTGAAGTGTCTGTTTTGTCTTTAATATTTTAGCAATTAGTAGTAGTAGATTTTACCCCACTAGGACATCACATAGGAGACAAACACCCGATGACACAAAGTGTCACGTGGATGAGGATTACCCGTGGAGAGGTCTCGGAAACCGCGTTCAGTCATTAGACCATTTTTATAGTCGGGCTATATTGCGGCCCCTGGCAAGAGCCAGGGTGGGGCTTCAAAATAACGAAAAATTGCATCTCACAAGGAGATGACTGGGTTTGTTGTTATATTCTGTGTGGGATGCAATGTTTATCGCTTTTGTGATGTCCTGTGGGGTATAAGAAGATATTTAGATGTATGTATAAGATTGCAGAGGTATAGATTGTCATATTCAATTTTTTTTTGTTTACTTTCAAATAATTTTATTTATTATACTGTGTTGTCTACTTGTGTGGATATATCAGTCCGACAATCAACACTCAATCAAGGTAAGGGCGAGACGGATATACAATCTGACAGCTACTGGCGCCATCAGAATTGGAATCCTTCGTTTGCTGCTGAAGATGGGGACGGAGCGATTATGGGAGTATCCCGAGTGCTGTGATGTCGATTCTTAATTCAGCATTCTTTGTGGATATTTAAAGTGATCTGGGATATTATTATTCTGTTTTAAGATTTATTCAAAACTAAATGCGAATCCCTCCACTGTTCTTGTTATGTCTTGTTTAGATCTTAACTGTAGTTCTCTAGAACCATCTACTCCCAGCAAAAAGTCGATAGTGTTGATAACATGCAACGGCCGATAGATACAAAAACTGACTGACAGAGGCACGAAACAACCCCAAAAAGTTAGAGCTTGACAAATATTTCAAATAATGATCTGTATACATGTCTTTAAAAAAATGATTATATGGTATATACAACAGCAGAAAAAAAAAAAAAAAAACACTTTAGACTCACTGAACATCTTATATTTAAGTTATAACCCCAAGGATTAAACAGGTTGTCTTTTAAAAAAAATCACTATTCTGACTAATTACTACGAAACAAACATTTGAAATTTGGTTTGTTGACATCTGAATGTTGACTCGCCTAATTTCAGCTCCTTATATAGTGCCTTATTGTGACATTGTTTTTCTGTTCTGTCTTGTTTATATTGCAAAACACTTGTCTGTCAAGTTAGAGACTTTAACTGAAACTTACTCCACAGAAGGCCACGTCAGTGATTATTTCTATTGGTCCTTGTTTCTACTAAAAATAGTAACATGCAATAATTGCAAAATCCGCTGACTTATGAATGATCTGTCATTTTTAAAATCATTGCATCAGTATCTCGTTGTTGTTCACAGAGATTTCCTCTGTCTTCTTGAAATTGAAGTCAGATTTGTTTTGTATATTTGAAGAATACTTGAAAGAAAACATTACATTTGTGGTATGATTATTCTTTCAATTGTACATATTTTATTTAAACAAATATTTACTGATATTTATTATTTTCCTTTTTTCAACTTTACTATGGTCATGTCACTATCATCAACAAAATCTGTAACTTTTGTGTGTGTAAGTAAATTCACAGCCGTTGTCAACACCGTATTAATAATAATCAACAGATCCGTATACTGTATTTGTTGTAGTTGTACCCTTGCTATTTTTTAACATTACTTCTGGATCTACAATAAATGAGAGTGATCAATGCCTGTACACGAGGCATAACAAATCTACTGTTTTAATGACACATTGTTAGTAAGATATTCGAAATATTAATTCTGTAAATTCTCTATCATAATTACAGCCGATAAATTTGTAAATGGGGCACTAATATTAACTTATAATACAGGTTACCTACATGTCTTGAGTAGATAAATATTCGGCTCTCCTCTGAAACTTCCTCCCCATATTATGTCGGCCAAACAAATACCCTAACAGGGTCTCAGTTGTGTATAAAATGCAGACTTTTTTCGCCGAACACACCGCGGCAAAACTAGGATTACTGCTAGTGACAATTTCGAGAAACGCAACAATACACACAATGATAGCGACATGGCGGAGGTTAGCGATAGTTTTCTTCTGATTAAATTCACCGCTGAGCATATACCCCTCGCCGCTATGCGTGGCGTGGATGGGGGGACTAAACTAGACGGCTGGGACTTAGAGCAGCACTACCACATCTCCTGCAACTTCCTCTAATTTATTTGCTTGTGAGTCCCAGCCATCTAGTTTAGCCCCCATCCACGTCTCGCGTAGCGTTATGGGGGATGCTGTCGATGATGCGGCATAGTCGCAGAAACAGGTCCGCAATTAACATATCGCTGAGACCCTGTTAGAGTATTTGTTTGCCCTTGATAATATTGTCCTGTTATTCTAAGGCAATCCTAGTTTTGCCGCGATTTGTTCCTTGGCAGGCACTCCGCATTTTACACACGACTGAGGCCCTGTTAGAGTATTTGTTTGGCCGCCATAAAATGGGGACGAAGTTAGGAGGAGAGCCGAATATTCCGTGTATAAAATAATGAATATATATACTCTGAGAACTCACTGAACCCTAATATCCCCGTTATAACTGTGAGGTTTGAACAGGATATTTAAAAAAAATTACTACTACCTAGATGATGTAGTAGTAATAGTAGTACCAGTGGTGACTGTAGTAGTAGCAGTGATAGTAGTTGTAGTAGTCAGATTTTTGTGTGTTTTGTTGACATAACAAAAGAAAAAAAACTGAAATATTGATAGTGGTAATATTTATAGTTGTGGCTTGGGGGTCCGCAATGGTATACAGTCCCCCAAAATTTTTTAGGCATAATTAATTCAGTGCTACTCTGCGGTGAGTAACTACACATTTGTAGACACTTTGTGGAGAGTACTGGCACCTTATTTTACTCACACACAAAAAAAGCTTTCGTTGTAGTAGTAGTGATCATAGCAGTAAAAGTGGTAGTTTGTAGTAGCAGCAATAGTTGTAGACGTAGTTGAAGCAGCAGTAGTTATGGTAGTAGTAGCATAGCATTAGTATATGTAGACCTGAGATTACCCTTCTGTTTCCGGTTGGTGACTGCAAGTGTTTGTGGGTCTCACTGTATATCTCCATCATGTTTTAAGTCCCCTGTCTTGAATTTCTTGCAGAGTTGGTTGTGTCCAGTACACAATCGAAATTTAATTGTCTGTTTTGTGTGTGTTGTTGGTGTGTGTGTATGTGTGTGTGAGAGAGAGAGAGAGAGAAGGAGGGGGAGAGAGAAAGAGGGGGAGGAGGTTGATTGGGTCTTAAGGAAGAACAATACTGAGTGAAGAAAAATATTAGAATATTACCATTTTTCAAAAGAAATATACATTATTTAAAAAATGTACACAACCCTTTAAAAAAAAATAACAATATAAACTTTTCTATGTTCCCAGAAGTCAAGTTTTTCACTATGGCCCTCAGGAGGGGATTGCCTCGGGGATCTAATCTCGGTGTAATGTTGCTTGCCACCCAGGTTTTGGGCTTTGGAATGGATAAAATACCTCCTGCTACGCTAGCTCTGATTGTTGGACAGACGGCCATCTTCCTGGATATGTTTCCAAAATTATTTCCAACAGTAGACACAGTGTGCCTGAATCCGTTTATGGGTATGTCAGAAATCGGTGCTTTATTAATATCCCGCCCCAGATGATATCACAGGACAGTCCAGCATTTTAGAGGGTGTTAAGACTGGGTTTCCAGGCTTTCTTATGCTTTTAACGACCCCAAAACATCTAGAACTGGCCCTAACCCCAACCCACCTACGTTCCACGAGAGAATGCAGCCTAGGTCCCATGACTGCATGCAGCCTAGATCCCAAGGCTGCATGCAGTCTGTCCACCCCCTGAAATATTAAACTGTCCAATGACCTGTGGATTTCCCCTGTTTGGAATATTAATAAAGCACCTAAAAAAAACCTCTGGAACATATCTAGCTTTAATTATTTTTGTTAACTTAGTAGTTTGATGCTGTTGTACGGAGCTGAAACATAAATAATAATTACAACATTTACTAGTTCTTCTTTGTTTACTGGCTGTAAGCTCTGGCGGAAAGTCGTTCATTTGGACTTTGGCTTTGTTCCAGGACCTGAGTTTTGTGGGACTTAGAAGAAAGCTCCCAATCAGTCGCCTCCTACAACTTGCTTATTGGGGAGGCAGTGGGTCTATTCTGTTTTCCCCCAAATGGGGCTCCAGAACCCACACGGGGAGGATGCAACAGTTGCAAATGAACTACAAAGATTCATTCACTGGTATGTCTTTGCAGAGTAGAATAAATTAAATGATAAGATAGAATCACTGATGTAAAGCTCTGGGAGGAAATTAAACAAATTCCAGTGAATCAAGAGGTGAGAAAAACACCCTGGTGTTGGATAGGACACATGTTGTGAAAGTCTGATAATATAACTAGAAAGTCTTTGCACTGGAACATTAAGGGTCAGAGGAATAAAGGCAGACCAAAAAAACTAATGGAGAATGAAGCTAGAAAGAAATTTTTAAAAATGGGGAAGACAAGTGAATCAAGAGGTGAGAAAAACACCCTGGTGTTGGATAGGACACATGTTGTGAAAGTCTGATAATATAACTAGAAAGTCTTTGCACTGGAACATTAAGGGTCAGAGGAATAAAGGCAGACCAAAAAAACTAATGGAGAATGAAGCTAGAAAGAAATATTTTAAAATGGGGAAGACAAGTGAATCAAGAGATGAGAAAAACACCCTGGTGTTGGATAGGACACATGTTGTGAAAGTCTGATAATATAACTAGAAAGTCTTTGCACTGGAACATTAAGGGTCAGAGGAATAAAGGCAGACCAAAAAAACTTATGGAGAATGGAGCTAGAAAGAAATTTTAAAAAATGGGGAAGACAAGTGAATCGAGAGATGAGAAAAACACCCTGGTGTTGGATAGGACACATGTTGTGAAAGTCTGATAATATAACTAGAAAGTCTTTGCACTGGAACATTAAGGGTCAGAGGAATAAAGGCAGACCAAAAAAACTTATGGAGAATGAAGCTAGAAAGAAATTTTAAAAAATGGGGAAGACAAGTGAATCAAGAGATGAGAAAAACACCCTTGTGTTGGATAGGACACATGTTGTGAAAGTCTGATAATATAACTAGAAAGTCTTTGCACTGGAACATTAAGGGTCAGAGGAATAAAGGCAGACCAAAAAAACTTATGGAGAATGAAGCTAGAAAGAAATTTTTAAAAATGGGGAAGACAAATGAATCAAGAGATGAGAAAAACACCCTGGTGTTGGATAGGACACATGTTGTGAAAGTCTGATAATATAACTATAATGTCTTTGCACTGGAACATTTAGGGTCAGAGGAATAAAGGCAGACTGAAAAACCTATGGAGAAAGGAGCTAGAGAGAAAGCACTGAAATGGGAAACAAATGGTCTGATAAAAATAGGGAAAACGTTAAGAAGAACATTATTACGAGAGGCTAAAAATGTCAGAAATTGAGAGAGTTGCATGCAGTAGAGTGGAGGAATTGAATGCAAGCCTTATGCGACGTAAAAGGGCATGCACAAAAAGGATGCTAAAATTCAAACATATCACTTTCTGAGCTGACGTAAGCAAAATAAAGGTTTAATTTCATGCCTTGACACATTTGGAATATATGTTGTTAGTCAGATATTTGTAAAAACCATCCGTCACTCGATGGGTGATTCGGTCAATATATATCCAGCCGGCGTCCTTTACTTCCTGGAATGTTTGTAGTCAGCATTTCAACTAAAGTTACTGATGACTGATTTAAGAGTTGCCATAGCATACCGAGCGTATCAATAGATGACGTAGTATACAAATACACACACACACCACACACATATTCTTATATATATATATATATATGTATCTGTGTATGTATTTATGTACAACAAACAGTATTGATTGGCACTCATAGAAACATAGAAGGACACACTAGACAACAGGAAAATAGAAAGCTACAGTTTGCCATGCCAGGAATTGAGCTTGTCACCTCAACATGTCAAAAGCGCCTCACTGCAGGACAAGTGTACTAAAACACGTGACCAGCTAGGAACTCCTAAACAAAGGTGTCTTCATTAGCCATGTCTCGTCGTACAGCATGAATCCACAACTATAGAATATATTTACAGAATTCATTGCAAACCATAGAAATGGCTCCATGTTTTAGAAAGTGATATTAACCCTACCAGACCTGAGGCCCTGAACTTAACCTACCTCCTATACCTGAGCTTCCTGGGCATTAATGTGAAAAGCCAACATGATATACAAAAATATTAGTTACATGCAAACAAGTGGCTAGAATAAGATGAAACTTGGAGACATTGTAGAAAGTAGGCTTATCTTTTATCTAGAGCCAATATTCCACCTTTGTGTGCCAATCCACTCAGGAGGATCAAGATTGTTTTCACAAAGTGAGCACCAAATGTTGTTGTTTGAGGGACACGCCCCCTTCTCCTACTATCGATCTGTTTCTAGATTTATAATTTTCAAGATTCTCCTAATTTTTTTAGCTCTCACAGAATGTGTCACTTCAACTATGAACGTATTCTTCATGAAATTATGACTCAGCAGAGGCTGAATAAACCAAAGTATCGATCACCTGTTGGACTGAAAAGCCTAGACCTACTTTTATTTCCTGTTGAAGTGCTTGGTTCATCAGCCACTCGTTTTATTTTGAATTATCATAATTTTTTCACGTAAAACAACACAAATTTAAACCAAACACACGTGGGTGGACATCTGAGAAGACTATCTACGAGATCTGATCATGATTAGCTAGTTATTTTTAGTTTGTGACTGATCTTTTTTACGTACTACGCAAATTGCCGAACATTAGGGACAGCGGTATAGCGTCAGATTAAGAAATTCCAGAAAAATCGGGTCAGCGGTCTGGTAGGGTTAACAAAGCATGGGTTGAATCACAAACAAAACAACAATTATAAACACATCGGACTGTAATGCTGTGTCTAGATACAAGGAATATTTTTTTAAAGAAGAGATTTGACTGGTCGGTTCCATTGTGGTGTATGTAATACACATAAATAAATAAACAGATAAGGAACCCTTAAGTCCAGAGAAACAGTATATATAATAAACAAATAACTGTATTGATTGGCACTCATAAAGAGAAGTAGAAAGATCAGAGGACACACTAGACATCATGAAAATTGAGAGCTATATAGTTTACCTACCATGCCAGGAATCAAGTGAATCAGACCTGTCATCACAAAATAAGGAAAGCGCCTCCCTGTAGGAAAGTGCACTTAAGCAAATGTCTTAACTCTTTTAGTACCACATGGTCTCACAGGAGATGCCAAAGGAAGGAAATAATAATGATGAAAAATCAGAAATGCGTTACTTTCAAAGTCGCAGTATACATACTAGTAGTGACCACTGGAAAAGCCAGATTTGTTAAATATGCTCTGACTAAATGTTAGAAATTAAAGAGCACATTATGCTACAGAGGGTTTGGTTTGGTCGTAGAAAACAAAAATTACAAGCTTGATCCTCTTTCAACTGCCTGAAGGCCTGTTATATCAAGGAAGGATTCATGGCTATCTTATTTGATTGTGTTTCTTTGGGGCGATCAGATTCGTTTGTTACTTTGTTGTAACATGTCAGACATGGTCTGGTTTGGCGGGTTTGGCGGCTTTTGATTGGGCTGTTTTCTGCACTGTGGTAGTGGATTGACATCCCACAGAGGGGAAAAAAGGGTTGTGTCATTCACACATGAAATTTTGCTTGGGACTTGATGTGTAGATGCTGACTGTTGCAAAAGCTTACTGGTTTAACACACCACGAACTTCTTCTTCTTCTTCTTCGCGTTCACCAGCTGTAAACTCCGGCGGAAAGTTCTGGTTGTTTGTCCACTTCTGGACTGCAGTCCTGTTCTAGAACATGAGTGTTGCGTGTGCATCTGTTTGACGCATCTGACTAATTTATATGCAGACTGTTGGTTCCTTGCCACTCAGGCAGATGCACTCCGACTTCGAAGAAAGCTTCCAATTAGTTGACTCTTACGACATGCTTTTGGGTAGGCAGTGGGTATATTATTGTTTTCCCTATAATAGGGCCCCGGAACCCACACAGGGAACACCTTGAACTGTTTCTCTTATATGTTAACTAAAGTATTTGTGCTTGCTGACATATTTAACTATTTCAGTGTATCACAATAAGGAATGGCGGAGGTTAGTCCTGGGTGCCCTGAGCCATGGCTCCGACATGCACCTCTACTACAACATGCTGAGTCTTTTCTACAAAGGCAGCTGGTTAGAGAAGCGGTTTGGCACCGTGTATTTTGTGTACCTCATCAGCATTTTTACCGTTCTGACAAGCATTGTGTACATTGGGCTAGAGCTTCTACTGGGTAACATGTTATCCTGTGCTGTTGGATTTTCAGGTAGAAAATTTGTGAGCATTATTGATGTTGTAGTTTGTTGAATTGTTTCACCAAGAATGCTTAGCTAACTCAGTCATCAAATACCCAAATAAATTTGGATGTCAGCCAAATGCTGTATATATAAAAAAATGTTTACGAGTTTATATTGGACGTCCTTGCATCCTCAGTCCCTTTATTTCCAATTTTTTTTTTCTTACAGTGTCCAGAATGTTGAATTAAGAATCAACATCACAGCACTCGGGACACCCCCATAAGCGCTCCATCCCCATCTTCAGCAGTAAGGGAAGAGTTAAAATTTTGATGGTACTAGTAACTGTCTGCTTGTATATCCATCTCGCCTCTCCACTGAGTATCGAGCGTCAGCCAGATCCCCTTGTAACACCTCGCAGTGCCATTCTTCTCAGACCGTAATGATCTGTCTGTGCCTCCTCATTTGTCACTCGCTCCCAAAGGGCCCTCACAACATCTAGCTTGTCATACATCAGTTCACCACCAAGTGTTGCAGAACCAACCAGTCTGTTTGCCTGCTCATTTTCCAACACACCAGCATGACCTGGAGAAAAGGATGCTAACTACTGGGGACCTTTGAAGTGTTGCTTGCCACTCTGCACGGAACATGCTTGTCTACCCCTTTCTCAACATGCTCTGTGAGTCAGTTACAATGACGGCATGTGTGTACAGCTGTGTCCAGTACAGCATTATCTTCTTTCTCTTTTAACTATGGTTACTAGTGATGCGCCAGACAGTTCTCTTATTTCTTCACCCCTCTTGTATTCATCCCATTTTATATTCAACATTTTCCTCAGGAAGATGTTTTCCGGTGCATTTAACTTTTATTCCATGTCTTTATTGGTTCAGCTTTCATGGACCTATGTTAAAATTGATGATTTGTATAATATGTTGACAATTTGATGTTCGTTACAATTGATTTATGTAGCCTCTTCAGGACATCATAAACAAAATCCAGCATTTTTTGGCTGCTTTGTGGTTTTACTAGGCAATTTTACAGTTAGTAGTTTGCCATTGCTTTCCTAATAGTGCAGCATGCATGCCAATCTTAAAATGAAAATAAAACAGTTTTTTAATAGATTGATTACTGATTTACAAATCAACAAAATTTATACTGATTTACAAATCGACATCATTTATACTGATTTACAAATTGACATCATTTACTGATTTAAAATCGACATGTTGGTCTCTTCCTCTCATACGTCCCCTCCTTGGCAGATCCATTCCTAATTCCATGTTCACACATTCTTATACATGCTGTTTCATCTAACTTGTGTCTTCTGTCGGCATTCTTTCATATGTGGTCCTCATATTGTCCACTTTGTCTAGCTGAGTGCTACTGTAGCTATCATTTTTGTAGCCACAGAATCCACTCTTTCATTACTTCGTACTCCTACATGTTCCAGAGAATATATCCATGTGAATCCCTGAAATGTTGATGCTTTATTACTGACAAACAGTTTAATCACAACATTTGACATGAATTTCTAGGCGTGCTGTTTGCCATCAAAGTTTTGACGACTCACTATTCTCCGAATGAACCAACGCGGTTGCTTGGCTTTATTCCTGTTCCCTCCAAGCACATCTACTGGGCAGAGCTGCTTCTCATTCAGATGCTGGTTCCCAATGCATCTTTTGTTGGTAGGTTTACCCTGTATTATTATGTTTGTCTGTTTAAAAGTATTAAGGTCAAGTCAGGGTACCCCTGTGTGGGTTTTGGGGCCCCATTATGGGGGAAAACAAGAATAGACCCACTGCCTGCACAAAAGCATGTCATAAATGTTGACTAATTGGGAGCTTCCTTCAAATTTGGTGTACGAAAGAACGAACAAACTTTATTTTCAAAGGGTCACAAATTGAGCATGCATGCCCGTCTTACATTCGGCCCTTCCAGTCAACCATCTTTCGCACAGCAGTTGTATTTTACTAATAAAGCATGTTATGATCATATGATGATATGCATATTATAAATATCCTAAAAGAACACAAAATCATGAGCTGTAAAGTGCATGCAAAAACCTGCGCGTGCATACACACACCCAGATACATACACCCACATACACACGCTCACCCACTGGTGAAGAGGTCGCGACTCCCCGGAACGATGCGGCGCACAGTTTGGGAATCACTGCTATAGAGATATTCCCAAAATACCATAGTCAAAGAAGAAAAGAAATACTGACATCCTAAAAGATCTGAATGTCAAGGAAGATTGGCTAGTAATCAGCATCTAGTCTCGGAAACTGAAATATTTTGGCCATATCAAGCCCCTCGGCACATTGGGAAAAATAAGAACTGAAGGCATGGTACTGGGAACAAGATTCAGAGGCTGATCATCTTGAAGATAGGCACCAGGGTGTAAATGACACTTTGGGTAGGAAAGTGCACGAGGCAGGAAAGCAGACGAGAGACCAAGTTTTTGTTGTTGGGCAGACCGTGATGAGAGTGACCTTCTGCAAAGGACCTGCATATGATGATTAATTTTACTCAAGTTTTACATCAGAATTGTTAGTTTTACTTCTTCTGACCGATAGTGTTTTTGTTTGATCCTCTGTGGGGCTCCAACATTGTCTGCTTTAAAATATAACTTATCATCAAAATCATCCTTTGCTTGCCGTTAGATGTCAGATAGGGCTCGCGTTCGAGCATTCCACTCTGCTCTGTTGCATGCAGCTCTCTCAGTTTCTGACATGGAGTTCAACCCAGCATTTTTGCCTCTCGTAATAATGTTCTTCTTAATTTTTCCCCTGGACGTCCTTTTTTTCTCTCTCTCTGATTATTTGTTTCCCATTTCAGTGCTTGTTTTTTTTTATTTCTTTGCTCATTTCATCTCCACCTTTTTTGTCTTATTTTCTCAAAAGCAGTCACAGGCTGCTACTGAAAGAGCACCATCATTTGATTTGTTGCACAAGATGCATTTTGCATGTGACATGATTCTGGCTGTAAATTTTAGATGGTTGTTATTACTGGAATATACTTGCATGTTGCAGGTCACCTGGCCGGCATTCTAGTGGGACTTGCTTATATATGGGGACCTCTGAGGTTTTTCATGGATATATTTTTGCAGCCTCAAGGCAAGTCTTGTTTGTGTCCAGCGCTCACAGCTCAGATGAATGCACTGTCAGTAGTAGATTCATGTGAATGTATTTATAGTTAGTCATTGGTTCACATGACTCCTAATGTGGGTTCAGGGGTCCCATTGTGGTGGTGGGGGGGGGGGGGGAGAAAATAGACCCACTGCCCTGTAACACGCATGTCGCAAAATTTGACTGATTAGCGGTGTCTCCTATCTATCTATCTATCTATCTATCTATCTATCTATCTATCTATCTATCTATCTATCTATCTATCTATCTATCTATCTATCTATCTGTCTGTCTGTCTGTCTGTCTGTCTGTCTGTCTGTCTGTCTGTCTGTCTGTCTATCTATCCATCCATCCATCTATCCATCTATCCATCTATCTATGTATCTATGTATCTATCTATCTATCTATCTATCTATCTATCTATCTATCTATCTATCTATCTATCTATCTATCTATCTATCTATCTATCTATCTATCTATCTATCTATCTATCTATCTATCTATCTATCTATCTATCTATCTATCTATCTATCTATCTATCTATCTATCTATCTATCTATCTATCTATCTATCTATCTATCTATCTATCTATCTATCTATCTATCTATATTTTTTTTTACCCCACCAGGACATCACACAAGCGATAAACACTTGATGACACAAAATGCCTCCACATGGATGAGGATCACCCGTGGAGAGATCCCGGAAACAGCATTCAGCCATTAGACCATATTTATGGCCAGGCTATAATGCAGTCCCTGGCAAGAGCCAGAGTAGGGCTTCAGATAACGAAAAGTTGCATCCCAAAGAGGGATGACAAGATAAACGGTGTTTCCTCTAAAGTCTGAGTGTATCTGGGTGAGAGACAAGGAACCAGCAGTATGCATACAAATAAGCCATATCTGTAAAACAGATGTGCCAGCAAAACTCAAGTTCTGGAATAAGGACAAAGTCCAGAAGATTCCAGCTGGTGAATGCCAAAAAAAAAAAAAAAAGGTTTACATGACACATTTATTGGTAGTGGTAAGTTCACAAGATCATAAGAACACATTTATGAACTGGTTTAAGTCACAAGAATTTGTTTGCTGGTTTAGCTCACATGAGCACATAAATAAGTAGAGGTAGGTTCACAGGAGCTTGTTTATAAGTTTTGTTCACATGTGCATATTTATAAGTAGTGGTAAGTTCACAAGAGATTTTTTGTAGGCTTTGTTCACATAAGCACATTTATAATTAGTGGTATGTTCACAAGAGATTATTTATAGGCTTTATTCACATGAGCACATTTATAATTAGTGGTAGGTTCACAAGATATTATTTATAGGTTTTGTTCACATGAGCACATTTATCATTAGTGGTAGATTCACAATAAATTAATTTATAGGCTTCGTTCACATGAGCACATTTATAATTAGTAGTAGGTTCAAAAGAGATAATTTATAGGTTTTGTTCACATGAGCACATTTATCATTAGTGGTAGATTCACAATAAATTTATTTATTGGCTTCGTTCACATGAGCACATTTATAATTAGTGGTAGGTTCACAAAAGATTATTTATAGGTTTTTTTCACATGAGCCGATTTATAAAAAGTGGTAGGTTCACAAGAGATCTTTTATAGGCTTTGTTCACATGAGCACATTTATCAGTATTAGTAGTTTTTAAATTATGATTGTTTCACATGTTTGTAAGTTATGGTGGTTTTACACAAACATTTTCGTAAGTTACGGCTGTTTTACATGAACACGTATATTTTACTGGCTCTGGTTACATGCCACCAGAAGTGGTACACAAACATGATGATGATAGTAATCTGATACCTTATCCTTGTTCTAGGTCAGTCATCTCGGGCTCAGAGAACATCATTTAATGCTCGGGGAAGCTCTGGCTATAGTTATGCCAGTCGAGCTTCTCCGTCTGCTCCAGCTTACGATGAAACAGCATACAGTTCAGCTACACATTCCAGGAATTACTATTCTTATACTGGTATGTTTTCTATTGTTATATAGTTTAACTCTTTGATCCCAGGGGGTTTAGCATCACAGGCCCAGAGGGTGGTAAATAGAGTTATAAAATCGGCGCATCATGCGTTCATTGGGCTTCTAGGTAAGAACCTATGAACATATGATGCGTTCCTTGAGACTCAAAGAGTTAATGCTGGGTGCACATATGGATTGGTTGAAATTTAGTTGACTCTCTAACTGTTTTAGCTCCAAGGAATGTACCATGTGTGAGCAGATTATCCATGTGTTTAAAGCATCGTTCTTTATGTTCATGTATTCTTTACACTTGATCTGAATATACAAAAGAAACATATTTTAACATGCCCATTCTTTAAGATAGTACACTTGTGTTTTTGTCATAATTGTTTTTAGAGTTGTTTGTATTAGAAAAATATTGGACGTAGATTTTTTTCAGACATGTCATAAGAACAAATGGTATTAGAAAAATACTGGAGGTAGAACTGCTGTATTGTTCAGAAGAAGGTTCTAGTAACAAACAAATGTTTGTTGCCTGATGTTGATATAAACATTTGTCCTCTGATAGTCCATGTTGTGGAGCAAAGGTAGTCATGTCTACCCACAGCCTTCTGTCTCTTGTACTTTCATTGAGTTCCGACACAGGTGATCTTCCATGCCATGATGTCAGACTTTCCAGCGTCTTCTTGGCCTCCTGCCTCTTTTTTCCTCAAGCTTTCCCACCGGCACGATCTTCTCCAGTTTTCTCATGACATGACCAAAGAATGTAGATTGTCTCCTTCTGGGCAGTCAATTCTCTGCATTCTACTGTCCTCCTGTTTGTCAGTACACCTACATGTATATTTACAGCTGGATTTAAAAAAAAAAAGTTTTTTGTCTGTGATTATACAAAGAATGTTATTACTTTTTTGGCGGAGAGTGAATTGTTAGAATGTTGGGTTTTCATGTGGGAAACCCATGTTCGAATCCTCTGTAAGGTAGTGGGAGTTTTTTCTGTGCTGGTAAAAATGAACATCCTTTATGTTCAAGGATCCCCTGTCCTACATTGTCTTGAAAGGTGGCACTGTTGTCAGTAAGGACCGTTTTAGGTTCTTTATTAATATCTTACCCCAGATAACATCACAGGACAGAGTGTGGTAAGACTGGGTTTCCCAGCTTTCTGATGCTTTTAATGCCCCCAAAACATCTAGAACTGGCCCTAACCCCAACCCACCCACGTCCCACGAGAAAGTGCAGCCTAGGTCCCAAGAATGCATGCGGCCTAGGTCACATGACTTCGTGCAGCATATCTACCACCCCCTGAAATATTAGACTGTCTCGTGACCTGTGGATTTCCCCTGTTTGGGGTAGGATATTAATAAAGCACCCAGTTTTATGTTTGTTAGTTATTTCAAATATCTGTATGTCCTGTCAGGTGGCTTGGATGAAGATGAGCAGTACCAGAGAGCTATGCAGCAGAGCATGAACGACAACCGCCAGACTCCAAACTCACAGGGTAAACCTCACTGAGTGGTGTGAGACTTATGTGGCAGTTACCATTGATTGGTTATATGTTTAATGTTGTGATGATGGAGGGGGGGGGGTGCTGCGTGGTCTCGAGACATGATGTCCGCCTCGAGTGCTAGAGGTTCCAGGTTCAGTCCCCGGTAATGGCTGGGATTTTTTAACGTAGACTTGGACTTTACTTCTAGTAATTTCCCCTGGTCTTTGGGTAGTGAGATAGACACCCATGTGCATTGTTGCGCACGTAAAAAATCCTTTGACAGTTAGAAATCGAAAAGAGTAGCATAACAGCACTGCCCGGGCAAAAATTTGGAGTTACAAATCTACCCAAAGTATTTCAGGATCCTCGCCGGTGCTACAGAGCCTGTGCACTGTGCTGAGCTTCTTCGGACTCAGACTTGAGTTAGTAGAAGAACGGAGCATTTATTGGTTACTGACGGTGTGCCAAGATGTGGCTTTTTGAAAGCCAAGTTGATGTCAAATTTCTTGTAAGCTTTAGTGATGGAGGTCAGGGGGTCACTTCATGAGTCAGCCCTGAGAAATGTTTTCCCTGTAATGCTGTGCTGAGTTCATGTTTGTTGATTACCCCCTTTATAATAAAAATTTTTTTTTTAAAGATGTAGATAAACAAATTTGTTAAACTTTATTGCTGACTTGTTATGTGGTAGTTTTTGTAAAAGGATTTTGTTTCTAGAAATTCCACATTCGTGATCCATTTTTTAAGTTTTAGCATTCACATTTCTGTTTTTGTTACACACATTATTATACACATTAAAAAAAAATTAAGTCTTACATCAAAATTGTTGGTTTTACTTCTAAATTTTGGTGTTTTTGTTTTACTATCATTGAGACCCCACCCCCCACAACATCAGCATGACCATATCTTCACTGGTGACATTTCAAAACAGTTAAGGGTGTTTTTATCTTCTCAACCAGGTTTGCACCCAAACTTGGATGATCTGCGTTCAAGGAGAGCACAATTCTACAGTTGATTTCTTTCCTATAGCAGCTTGTATGGCAGACTACATTCCAGAGGGAAGCAGTTAGCAAGAGATGTGATAAAGAGAATGTTGCATCACACAAGCACATTAAGCAACCTGTCCTAAGCTTTGGAAGAATGTGGGTTTCTCTGCTAGCATTGTAAGAAAAAAGTAATCAAATGCACCAAGATAATTTTGCTGCTGAAACATAGTAAACATCTCCTAGCGTTAAACTATCATTGTCAAGGTAATGAGATGTAAACATCTAAATGAGAGCTTTGATTTGTGTGAGCATTTTTAGAAATATGGTACCCATAATGTAATGAAATTATCAGCATTCGATATGTTAACCTATAATGTAAATGTCACCATTTGATAGGATTACGTTACTGAAATTGTTAATTCCGGCTAACTTGGTGCAGTATACTTTCTGTCAGTGTGCTTATTTTTTATATTGTTTAGTGTCCTTCCATTTCTACTTTTCTCTGCTGCATCTTGTGAGTGCCAGTAGCGTTTTTTTTTTTTTTTTATGCTGTCAAATGTGTCCTTCCCACTGAACGTAGAATTTGCCTACAAAACAGCCAACCAAAAAATGCTGGCGTTGGTGCTGCAGTGACCTGTAAAGGATACCCAAATAATTGTCAAGTGCATCCTCCTATCTCCATTTCTTTCTGCTGTATGTATCAGTGCCAATCAATACATGTCTTTTTGTTATGCTATTTCAGTGGCTTTAAAGGTTCTCCCCAAAAATGTATGCTCGGTCTCTATGTATGTTGTGTTCTTATGATCTACTAATTTACTTCTACTTCTTCACATTCACCGGTTGTAAACTCCGGCAGAAAGTTCTGGTTGTTCTGGACTTTAGTCTTGTTCTACAACTTGAGCTTTGCATGCATGCAGATCTGTTTTACATATCTGCCTTTTTTTATATGCAGACTGTTGGTTCCTTATCTCTTAGACAGACGTGTTATGACTTTAGAGGAAACTTCCCTAATTAGTCTACTTTACAACATATTTGTTGGGTTGGGGGGGGGGGGGGGGGGGGGGGGGGGGGAGTGGGTCTGTTCTTTTTCTCTCCCACACAGGGGCCCTAGAATCCACACAGGGATGTTAAAGTTAGTTGCATATCCTTTACAGGATGTTGCAGAACCGAGCCCCAAATCTTTTTGGGGCTGTTGGGGTTTTTCTAGGCAAATTTATGTCCAGCAGTTTGCCATTGCTTTCTGGGGGGGGGTGGGCTTATTAATTTCACTGTCAAAACCAACGCAAGGCACAAAACCTGCAGCTGGGATCGAATAGGGCGGCACCCCCTCATTATGAAGTGTGTTTGCAGTGCCTAAGCCATATATGCCGACACGGGGATGTGTTGACTTTAAATTGCCCAGTAAATGATTTGTGTTGTCCTGTAAAGGTTCTTAACTGTGTGTTTACCAGCTTTAAACTTAGTCATGTTTGAATTGAGTTTTGTATATAGTGATCTTACTGTTTGTATTCAGTTTGTTCTGGAACTCTGTCTTTGTCTCTTTCTCTCTCTCTCTTCTATCTCTCTCTCTCCCCTCTCTCTCTCTCTCATATCTCTCTCTCCTCTCTCTCTCTCTTTTTCTCTCTCGTCCTCTCTCTCTCCTCTCTCTCTCTCTCTCCCCTCTCTCTCTCTCCTCTCTCTTTCTCTCTCCTCCTCTCTCTCTCTTTCTCTCTCTCCTTTCTCTCTTTCTCTCTCTCTCTCTCTGTGTCTCTCCCTCTCTCTCTGTGTGGGAAGGGGTTAAATCATGAACTATAATTGTGGTTGTGAGTAAGGTGTTTTATCTCTTTTCTTGTATGTTGTCTGCTCTTGTAAATTGTGTAAATTTGAGCCAGTGTTTGTATAAATGTGAATTGTCATTACATGACATGAGCTGTTTATATAAAATATGTCAACACTGTAAATCTGAGTGGAAAGTTTGTATGACATGTTTACTTGGTGTGAATCTGAGTCAGTGTTTCTATAACAGTGTATATATTTTATGACCTGGTTTAGACTGCTTGTCACTTGTAATGCTGATAAATTTGAATCTGTTTAACAAAAAAACAAAACAAAAACAAAAAATCTTGTGTTGTTTTATAGATACAGAAAATCTGTGAACATTTACATAAACATTGAGAAATCACAATCTGTTCCAGTACTAAGTATCATGTTTCAGTTTTTTATTTCTAATGTATTTATTCATTGCCTTTATTTTATAATGAGTATTATATGAGGGGAAGTCAATAAGTTAGTTACAAATAGTTATGAGATGGCAGGATAATGTAGTTGGTGGTTTTTGAAGGTGTCATTAGGTGACAGCAACATCAAACTCTATGTCTCCATTCGTTAGGTGGCGCTAGGTGTTGCATGTGCATTCCCAACACAGAAACAAAATGGCAACTGTACCTTTGGAGTGTACCCTTAAAGAACAACATGCTGTAATGCTGGGGGAGGGGGGCAAAAGAGCTGCCTGCAAAGGACATTCATAAAGACATGCTTATTGTTTATGCTGACAAATGTTATCCTGTGAAGCAGTGCATAGCTGATTCATACTTTAAAGTTCTATCGATGCTTCATGATGCAATTAAAAGAAAACATGATTGGACGTGAAAAGATGATGGGACAAGTGCATCAATGTTTGTGGAAATTATGTTGAAAAATAAAGGGACAGTGTATGTGTAAAAATAAACGGTTTTCACATTATCGTGCAACTTGTTGTGACTTACTTTTTGACTTTTCCTGGTACGACTCTTCAGGTCCTGACAGAGCCTTGCCTTGACTGCCAGGTAGACCTAGCTGGGTATCAGATAGAGTTGTGGGAAGCAAAGGCGACCGGTGTGATTTTGGCCACATCACCTACCGTGTTCCGTTGGTCTATAAAATATAAATCTAGCCCTATATGCCCAATACACTTTAAGGTGTGGAAAAGGGTCCTTTACTTTATTTACTTACTAGCTGTACCCGGCCACGCGTTGCTGTGGCCCAGAATGGTGAAATGGAGAGGAAAGAAAATAGCTCTCAGCTAACAGTGTCTGTCATACCAACACCCCCCACCCCCCCCCCCCCCCCCCCCCCAACCCCTTCCCCAAATCATATCTCCCTCTCCGAAGGATTGAAAAATCATCCATGGCGAAATTATTAAAATAGAAATAGTTAAAAAATGAGAACTTTAAAATAATATTTTAAGCTCTCTCAGCTAACTGTGTCTGGCATAAACCCCTCCAACAATCATATATCCCTCTCCGTAGAATTGAAAAATCATCACCTGGCGAAATTAATAAAATAGAAATAGTTAATTAATGAGAACAATAAAATAATTTGTTAAACTCTCTCGGGTAACTGTGTCTGGCATCACCCCTGATCCCTCCGCTTCCCCAATCATATCTCCTTCTCTGAAGGATTGAAAAATCATCACCTGGTGAAGTCATATCTCCCTCTCCGAAGGATGGAAAAATCATCCAGTGCGAAATTATTAAAATAGAAATAGTTGAGAAATGAGAATTTTAAAATAATATTTTAAGCTCTCTTAGCTAACTGTGTCTGGCATAACCCAACCCTCCACCAATCATATCTCCTCTGAAGAATTGAAAAATCATCACCTGGTGAAATTATTAAAATAGAAATAGTTAAGAAATAAGAACTTTAATATAATATTTTAAGCTCTCTCAGCTAACTATGTCTGGCATCACCCCCCCCCCCCCCCCCCCCTTTTTTTTTTCCATTTCCAACAATCATATCTCACTCACCGAAGGATTGAAAAATCATCACCTGGCGAAATTATTAAAATAGAAATAGTTAAGAAATGAGAACTTTAAAATAATATTTTAAGCTCTCTCAGCTAACTGTGTCTGGCATAACCCCCCCCCCCCCCCCCCCCCCCTTCCCGTAATCATATCCTCTCCGAAGGATAGGAAAGTCACATTGTGACGAAATATTGTAACTAAATTGAGCTTGGCATCCGTGTCCACCCAGACTTAAATAGGAAGCATTAACTTGTACTAAAAAGTAAATGTGGCCAGTGTAACAGCTACCACATCACCCATCCAGTACCAGTACTACTGCAACCACTACCACCACCACCATCACAACAACTACTGTCACTACAGTCTGTGTAGGTCGGTGTAGAAAAGAGGAGTTAGCGCCGCATGCTGTCGCCACGGACTATTTAGTTTAATGTTGCCCTCGACATAGGAAAAAAAAACTTCATCACGTAACCCGTGATGGAACCCACAGTAAAAAGTACACTATACTCACAAATAGCGAAGAAAAATACTCCGCACCCATCATCTCTCCCTCTCCGAATGAATGATTTTTAACTGACCTTGGCATCCGTGTCCACCCAAACTAAACTGTCTGTAAGCCGTCTTAGTTAACAGTTTCTGTCATCGCCGAAGCAACGCGGGGAGGCTATTGGGACAACTGAAATCGGATGTCTTTAGGCGAAAGGCGCAGATATCGCAGCCTAGCTGTAACCCACAACACAACGTGGCAACCACCCTTTTAATGGAAAAATAACAATTATCACCCAGCGGGAAATCGAACACCGGTCACCCGCGTGACCGGTGTTCCATCTTTCTAAAGATGGAAACTGAGCACTTATGGGAGTGTCCTGGCTTCTGTAATGTCATTTCTTATTTCAAAATTCTTCTTCTTCGCATTCACTGGCTTTAAACTCAGGCGGAAAGTTCTGGTTGTTGGTCCACTCCTGGATTTAGACTTGTTCCAGAACCCGAGTGTTGCGTGTACATCCATTTTACAGATCTGACTTTTTTTATACTGTCGGTTCCTGAACGTCAAGGAAAATTGGCTAATAAACAGCATCCTTTTTCGGAAGCTGCAATATTTTGGTCATATCAAGCGCCACAACGGATTGGAAAAAACTATAGCAGAAGACATGGTACATGCATTACTTTCAAAAATGGCAATACACATAGCTGTAGTGATCAGTGGGGGCAGCCAGATTTCTCTAGTATGTTCTGACGAACTGGTAAAAGTAAAAGAGCGTGTTACG